ACGGGTGGCAATCTTGAGCCGAAGCCCCTGAGGGCAGCATCCTCGTGCCTGCTCAGCTGGTGTCCAAGCCTGACCCAGCCCCAGCAAAGGTATCATTTAGCACTGCTCAGGTGTCCCTCGGCAGAGAGTGGGACCTGGAAACGGGGCTGACAAGAGTCACACGGCTTGTGGCCCTCACCCCTTCATGCCATTACAACCCCTGGCCCCAGGGTCCCCTGCACTCAGCTTTCTTGTGACAGAAGAGTCAGAGCGTCTGGGGACACTCCTCTGTCACTAGCAAGTACTGAATCCTGCCTTGGGTGACAGTGTTACAGAAAGAGGTTGGGTGTTTTGGGAAGACCCCAATAAGAGTTGAGACCACTCACCCACTGCCTGGAACTCTGGGTTCTAGGATGGCACCTGGAAATAACCAATTCCTCCTAGATATTTGCTGAATGAGTGAGTGAGTGAGTGAGTGAGTGAATAAATGAATGAATACACAGGGTCTTGGCTTGACTTCCTGTGATTTCTCCCATGTCACCTTGGGTAAGTCATTGCTCCCTTCAAACTTTACCTAACCTGACTGGATAATGAGCTCAGAGACCACGACTTCTGACAATGACAGAGGATCTTTCCAGGACAAAGGTGGCAGAGCAGGAAGCAGGTGGGACTGCCCCTGCAGTTCCCCCGGGTCCTGGGAAGGGAGGTGGCAGCAGGAAAGGGACAGTGTCCTCTCCAGATGCAGCTCCCTGAAGGTTGCCCTGGGCAAGCACAGTGAGGGGGGTAGCCCTCAGGCTGGAAGGGCCACAGCTGGGGTTTGCAGTCACCAGGCAGCCCCATGGTCCCGCAGATTTGTCACCTGACCTGACCTGGGCTGGCCATGTCTATGCCTTGCTGGTTGCCAGGGCTTCCCTGGCCCCCATGCCTAACCTCACAGACACTGAGTGGCCTCCCCAAACAGACTTAACCCTATCCTTACCCAGAGCCCACACCACGATGCAATGTATCGGGGTTTTGTTCTCGGAATAGCAACTTGAGGTCAGCCCAGGCATACTGTGTTCCTGGGCCACAGGAGCCACCCAGCCCCATCATCTCATCCTGGCAACTCCTCTCATTCCAGCAGCCCGTCTGACCCCTGAAAGGTGATTTAGGTGAGAATTCTGACCTAGTTCCACACATGGGGGGCTGGGGGCCTAGAGGGGACAGGAATCATAGTCTCTGAACTCAGCAGCAACTGGGACTTACTAAGAGTGTGTGTGTGTGCACGCGCGCGCGTGCGCATGCATATGTGTTTGTATGTGTATTTGTGTATGTATGTGTATATATGTATGTGTATATGTGTGAACATATGTGTATATGTATGTGTATATATGTATGTGTGTGTGAATATATGTGTGTATATATGCGTTATGTGTGTATGTGTATATATGTGTGTGTTGTATATGTGTATGTATGTGTGAATATATGTGTATGTATATGTATGCATGTGTGTATGTGTATATATGTATGTGTGTGTGAATATATGTGTATGTATGTATGTATATGTATGTGTATGTGTGTGTGTTATCATTTTCTGATTATTTTTACTCCCATGTCATCTGTACAGCCACCCCCATCACCACCCTCCGTATAATGCTCCCACCCCCATCACCACCCTCCGTATAATGCTCCCCCCTCCTTGCTCGTTGCCTGGCTGTCACTGTGTGTACAGTTGTGCCTGTGCCCTTTGAGGACAAGGCCTTGTTGGTTGGCTCCCTGTTGTTCCCAGGCACAAAGGAAAATGATCAGCCTCCAGGAAGCCAGTGAAGAGATGGGACACCTGCCCAGCTGCCGTAGGAAGGGCTTGTTCCCACAGTTCCTGGGTGGCTGTCCCCTGCATAACATCCATTGTCTTTTCAGCTGCCCCAGAGAGAGCTGCAGGATCTCTGAGCTGAACATTCCATCTATGGAGGGGGTGGTGTGGTCACCCAGCTTCCACCACCCCCCACCCCCACTCCCCCACCCCCCGCTGCTGCCAGGTCTGACCCATCAAGCCTGGGACCTCAGGTTCAAAGAGACCACGGCCTGGATGTGCAGGAGACGACTTTGTGGTTGTGGGTAGGACAGGGCAGGGGCCTGGGCAGGCCATGGTGTCTTCCAAGAAAGGTTCTCAGGTAGAAGGAAAGGAAGGGGAGAGGAGGGTTCAAAGTCCACACAGGGCACTGGAGAGGAGACACGGGGGTTTCCTTCAACTAGACAATAATGAAGGTACATGCTATTCTGTAGAACAGTGCAGATGGCTGTTCAGATTGCTTGTGGAGCCTGTTTAAACAACATGGGGGAGCACACAGAAGGAGCTGGGGACCTAACACTCCCCTCTCAGGGACCTGTAGATGCTCAGGAGCCCAGGTAGAGCCCAGGTGGCCTGGGTACAGAAAGCCAGCCTTGGGAGTGCATCTTAGCTCTGGCTTCAGTTCCTACCTCTGTGAAAAAGAGGTGTAGTCTACGGTGCCCCCGCCCATTCCTCTACAGCTCTCCTTGCCTCCCTTCTTTTCCCTCAAACCCGAGAGTGACCTCTTGCAAGAGCCTTGTCCCGCTGCCCTCTGCCCTCCCCACACTGGCCAACAGCACAGCCAGACCATGATCTGTCTGAACTTGGGTCTTCAGACTTGGTCAGAACCTGTCACCTGGGATTGTCGGGAAGGTCGGATGAGTGAATACATGGACGAGTCTTACAAACTGTCTGGCACAGGGTGACGCTGGGTCTGTGATTGCTAGATGGTGAATCTCGTTGTCATCAGCACCGTCCCCATCATGCCATCACCATGCTCTTCCTATGGATGTCTTCTTATACACCCACCACCTTCCTCCTCCCTTCCCTCTTTCTCTCCCATCTGTCCACTCATCCCCTTGTTCATCTATCTACCGGCGACCCATCCATCCCTCCATCCATCCATCCCTCCATCCCTTCATCCGTCCATCCGTCCAGCCTTCCTCAGTGGAAACCCATGCACTTCGGGGGAGCTCACTTTACGTTCCTTACTCTGTCTCATGGGAATCGGGCATGTTTCTACCACCAGATAGGTTTAGACAAAATGACTGGGGTCCTGGTTCTTCTGGTTTGGGGAAAAGTGGTGGAAAGGTCACTCCTGAAGGGCTGTTTGCTGTTTCTGTATCTGGAGGGTAAACTGAGGCTTAGCCTTGATTCCTATAGGTATAATGCTGTTTGTTTGTTTTTCAAGACAGGATTTCTCTGTGTAGCCTTAGCTGTCCTGGAAACTCACTCTGCAGACCAGGCTGGCCGTGAGCACTCAGAGACCCACCTGTCTCTGCCTCCCAGTTGCTGGAATTAAAGGCATGCGCCACCACCACCAAATGTACAGCAAACTCTTAAGGTCAGAAATATTACACTCAGATGAGCTGACAAAAAGGAAGATTATTCTGGAAAGAGGAATCAATAAGTTTGTGCCATTTTTCTTTATTTCCTGGCTTCCTAACCAGGCTAGAGGTTCCTGGGACTGTTCCTCCATCGGGCTGTCAAGTAGCCCGCCTGCAGGGAGAGCCTCTCCTACCTGTCTTTACTGTTCCCCCGTGGACAGAATTCTTGATTGTGTGTTGCTGCTTGGGAGGCATGCTCCGTGGCTCCAGAGAAGTCTTTCTCCAGACCCTGACCCTCATCATGAAGGGAACATGTCATCTACCTTCTCCAGACAGTACCCCTGTGGCCTCTTCACCTTTACAACAGACAGCACCCCTGTGGCCTCTTCACCTTTACAACAGAACCACCAACCCCTAGAGCTACACCCGGCATTCTCCATCCATTGAGCCAGGACACCATCCCTTTGGTTACTCGAGCCCTAACACCGGCCATCCTTGCATTTTCCCTCCTATGCCACTTCCAATTCACCCGGAGACGTCATCAGCTGCACTGTCTTCAAGGCATGTTCGAAATCCTACTCCTCTGTCCTCTGACATCCCAGGGCAGAGGATGGAGAGCCTGCTACCCTCTGTGTCACATGCCTCCCTCTAGCCTCTGGGAGCTGTCTATTTCCCTGACCATCAGGTCCTCAGAACAGGGAGCCTGGTCTCTCCTGCGTCTCCTAGGGTGCCCAGCACGCAGGAACCCAGCCACACCAGTGTGAGCACAGGGTATCCCAGGGACCATCACGCTACAGGTTCAGAACCTGCCTTCTGAGTTCAGACAAGAACTTTTCTATGTGCTTTTCTTTCCCTACTTCCTTCTTCCCTCCCTTCCTCCTGCCTTCCTTCCTTCATTCATTCCTTCTCTCCTTCCTTCCTCCTAAAATACTAAATTTTATTAAACACTGACAGTAGTTCATAAAGAAACAAAATCAATGGCCAGGCGTGTGGCTTGCTTGATAAAGTGCTTACTTAGCCTGCACAAGGTCCCGGGTTTGATCCCAAGCACCACATGAAACGGGTGTTGTGGTAGTGAATGCTTGCAATGGCAGTGGGTGGTCGGGAGTTCAAGGTCATCCTGAGCTGTATAGTGAGTTTGAGGCTGGCCTTTCCATAAGAAAGAAAGAAAGAAGATAGGAAGGAAGAAAGAGAGGAAGGGAGGGAGAGAGAGAGGGAGGAAGTCAAATTACAAAACCATTTCAGTTGTCTCTGTATGAATGTGTCTGTCTGTCTCTCTCTCTCACACACACAGATACACATACATGATGAGAAGAACACATGTCAAAATTAACAAACACGGTCTATGCAACTTTTATTTTCTTCATGTTTCCTCACAGGTCATCTTCAACTTTAAAGAAATAAATTTCCTTAGCCGGGCATTGTGGTGCATACCTTTAATCCCAGCACTCGGGAGGCAGAGGCAAGCAGATCTGTGTGAGTCTGAGGTCAGCCTGGTCTATACAGCGAGTTCCAGGACAGGCTCCAAAAGCCACAGAGAAACCCTGTCGAAGAAGAAGAAGAAGAAGAAGAAGAAGAAGAAGAAGAAGAAGAAGAAGAAGAAGAAGAAGAAGAAGAAGAAGAAGAAGAAGAAGAAGAAGAGACGATGAGACATTCGGGGTAGTGCATAAGCAGTTTTGTGTAGGTCATAGTCATGTGACAGCATCTCTGGTCCTAGCTTCGTCTTTGGGAAGGCTGGGAAAGAGAGCTGAGCAAACCTCCATTCTCTGCAATCACTTGGGGACAATTCAGACCCTCCTCACAGAGCCACTGTGGGAATGAAAGAAGTGAAGCCAGGGATGGCGGCTAGCACTCTGAGGCCCTGATCAAGTCCCCTCCCCTGTGGCTGGTCAGGATGCTCACCCACTGACTTGTACTCTCTGAATTCTGAGCACCGGGGCATCACCTCACTGTGTGGTGTGTAGGTCAGGTGGAATTGTGCCAGGCAGCCCTGCCACTCACTAGCAACGTGATTAGAGACCCGAACAGTCACATCTTGTAGACCAGGTGAACTCTCACCACATAGGTCCTCCTGTTATAGCAGCTGTTACACACATGGGGTAAACAGAGTTGTACAGAGCTCAAGTGACCCTGTCCCCTCAGTGGCTCTGAGTGTCAGGGCTTGGCATTTGAACCACACAATGCTCATTCACTGAGTTGACCCTGAAGACTGGATTGCCACACATAGGAGACAAGATCTACAAACTGCTTAGCTGGTGCCTGGCACGGAGCCCTCAGAAATGTTCAGGCACGAGAGCCTAAGAGTAAGATGGCTAGACCCTCTGAGTTTCCTGTTGGCAGCTGAACCTGGCTGTTCCCAGGGACCCTTCCCACCCCACAGAGAGCTTCAGACACCTCCCTCCCAGCCTCCTAGATCGACAGCCCATGACTTAGGTGACTGGGCGTGGAGCCAGGAGGTGGGGACCAGGCTCAGGCAGGCTCCCCAGGTTGTAGCGTGAAATTAAAAGGGAGGAGAGAGCACCAACCCATTAGAACGCACGCTCCTACCCGGCAGCCAGGTGTCCCCAAGAAGAGCTGGGGAGCCGGGGAGGCAGCCGGGGCTTGTGGCTGCTGGGCACCCGAGGTAGCCCGACCAGAAGGCTGGGGATCTGGGAGCAGGATGGCCTCCCAGAGGGCTGTGCAGCTTTCTCTGAAGAAGCCCACTCACGCCGTGTGTGTGGTCGGTGTGGAGACTCTGGTGGATGTCTACAGGTAAGAAGAGCTGAGCACTTTCCTGTGCTTAGGTGGGGGATCCCTGGGCCAAAGAGTATGCAGAAGGGTGTAGACAGCATGAGGTTTGGACACCAAAGGAGGTACAGCTGACTTCAGAGCTTGGGACGGAAGGGAATGGGGGCTGCCCAGGTGCTCTGGGGACAGGACACTGGGTCCAGTCCCTGGATGAAGGTGACCTCAGAAGATCACTCTGAGTTCTGGGGCCAAGCTCTGCCTGGGTTCCACATGCCAGTCTTCAAGTGCAGCGGCAGAAGGAGCTGGGGCCCAAGCCAGGGAAGGGGGTTGCCCCCCTTCCCTAGTGTCTTGCCAATTTTCCACCTCTCTGCGGTTAGGGGTGTGCATGTGACATCTTGACCCTTGGAGGCCAGCCAGGGACAACCAGAGTGACGGGGATTAACAGGGAGTGGCCAAGGGATAACTCAATGACTTAGTTTAGGAAGTGATCCTGGAACAAAGCCTGGGACTTGGGCTGGCAAGAGACTATGGTGGTGATGGTGGTGATGATGGTGGTGGTGATGACGATGATGGTGGTAGTGATGATGATGATGACTGTTGAAGTGGCCTTGATGGTGGTTGTGATAGTGTCAATAGAGACATCTGCATAGAACAGTCATGACATCAGTTTCCCCCATTGACCTGACTCGTCCCTGTCCTGGTCTGCTTAGACAGGGATACTGGGACCCAGGACAGCCCCAGTTCTTTGCCTAACTACTGGGGAAGTTGGCTATGGTGATGTCCGGGGCCTCTGGACCTCTAAGTAGGGCACCTTCCATAGGGAGCTGAGTGCTAGGGGTTCCCAGACACCATCTGAACCCAGATCCCCCTTGGGCTTGCCCAGTCAGGTGGATGAATGCTGTATTTTATGCCTACCTGGATTTCATTGATGCCTTGTCTAACTGTCCCCTCTCTGGTGGTGGTGTAGGACCCCTGGTAACAGGGATGGGGAGGAATAGACAGGAGCTCTGGAAGCCAGACCTTGAGCACCTGCTGCTTGGGACAGGAGGTCAGGCTGTTCTCATCAGACCTATATGGCTAGTGGATCATACCTACTCCTATCTGCTTAGTATAGGGTTCTAGATTTCATGAATAGAGAGTCCATGAGTGGAACTGGAGGAGAGAGAAAGGAAAGAGACACAGAGAGAACTTTCTGCTACTTCCCAGGGCCTAACACATGCTGGGCAAACGCTCTACTCTGGGGCCAGCCCCCAAGTACACTTTTAGCGATGGCATGGGACATGTGTATCCTATACTCTGAGGTTTAGCTGAAGCCCAACTAGCCTTCCTGTACTGCATCCGGCAGTCCTGATTTGACACTGATGCCAGGGAAGGTGCCCATAGGTCCCACCTGCCTGATCTCAGGCCGCTGCTCTCACCTAGGGACAAGGCTGTTTCTAGAAGGTTCCTTTGAAGCCCAGCCTTGTGTTACTCTGTGGCACTTAGCAGGGAGCCAGGTCTGCCTTCTGTCACCAGCTTACCCCTTGCTTCTCCCTGCCGTGTGAACTGAACCCTGACTGGATGCCCTGGGTCCCCTCTGAAGCTCGGCATGGAGGTGATGCATGCAGCTAGTGCATCCTGGTCCTATTGGTCCCTGGCTGTGTGACCTTGGGCATGCCACTGCTCTTCTGTGAGCCTGGCCCCCGTCTCTGAGAGTCGATGGGAATGTAGCAGCACGGCCATCATAGGCTGGGGTGAGTGAGATGGGAATGTGCAGAATTTCCATGGTAGGTGCCTGGTAGTGTGCCCGCTGTGGGCATCCCCACATCTGTTCTTCCCATTGCGCTCGGAGGTGGGAGGGGGCGAGGACAAGGTGGGGTATGTGATGAGAGCACCGAGCCCTTAGCATCCTTCAGTGTGGTGGTCCCTTGGCTGGTCCTAGGAGGGACTGAAGTGTCACTCTGCACCACGAGTGGTGGCTAGCATCACAGCTACCCAGAGTGTACAGAGAACATAGGAGTTTGCTCTGTGACACTGTGGAGGGCTCTCCTGCCCAGGCGGTGAGGAAAGGTGCCTCGGATGGGCAAGCCAGTGAAGCTTCCAGGCGCCTGAGGCTCCCCCAGGGGTGGGTGGGAGCCAGGCCATACTTGATGAGTGATAAACTTGGGGCTCCACCACCCCTTTGCTTGGTGACTAGCTCTAGCTGAGGCCAACCAGGGGGCTTAGAACTGGTCTTGCTTGCTGATAAGCCTGGGGAAGGTCCCCCAAGTGGCTGCTGTGCCAGTCACCTGAGCTGCCCAGAGTTTGAACTCCAGGTGATGGTGCTTAAGGTGACATCAGAGGAAGTGATTAATTCCCCCCAGGGGCCGCATAGCCTGGCTATTTGGAAAAATGTTTGTGTGTGTGGTTAATTGTGTGCCATGGGGTAACCAGACTCGGAAGGTGCTGTAGACCACCCCCCTAATTGGGCTAGCTCAGCACCTTTACCCCAATATCCTCATGGGCTCTCGCAGTACCTTAATGCCTATTCCCCAGCAGGCTGTGACTCCACCCCCAATTGTGAACCTAGGCACCCTGACCTCCTCACTCCAGGGGGCTGCTTCAACACTCTCACCAATGCAAGATAGGGTCTTCAGGTCCTATAGCTCCGGGGCTTGGGACAAAGGAGTAAGGAGCACTGTGAGTCTCTGAGATGAGCCACAGGGAGGACCATACCTGAGCATCTCCTGGGCTTCCTGAATTCCAAAACCAACAATGCCCTGCAGTCTCTCTGTTTCCTGCAGTCTGTCTGCCTGTTTCAGGCAGTCTGTCTGTCTGTCTGTTGACTGTAGTCTATATGTCTGTCTGTTTCCTGCAGTCTGTCTGTCTGTCTGTTTCCTGCAGTCTGTCTGTCTGACTGTTTCCAGCGCCTTGTGGGTTATGTTCTCAGCCCTCACAGGTGCAGGGGGAAGCTGGCCTGGGCTGCCAGGGAAGTAATTATAGGATTGACGGGATCCTAGTTCAAGCGACTGAAAGGCTGTAGGCACCACTGGGACCAGCCTGTCCTTATACCTACAGAAGGAAGAGAGCCCTTATTCGGAGGTCATGTTCAAGTGCTTGCATTTCTTAGTTCCTGGACTATAAGAGGCCACTGAGTGGAGGCCTTGCCTTGTTCAGGTTTCATGGTGACCTGAGGGCCATCAGATGTGGGACAGCAAGTGGACAGTGGGCATCCCCCCAGCATAGAGTGCTGGCATCAGGCAGGATGAGGGGACACACACTTGTCATTCCACCAGTTAGGTAGTTGAGGCAGGAGGAATGCAACTCTAATGGGCCAGCTTGGGCAATGGAGTAAGACCCTGTCTCAAAAAGTAAAAAGAGGCCGGGGGGGGGGTAGTTCGGTGGCTGAGTGCTTGCCTAGGGCGCGGAAGCCCCTGGTTTAATCCTCAGTACAGTCAGAACAGAAGACCTGATATTGGTGTTGGCCTCAGAGCTCCGTTCCTTCAGTTCCACAGACACAGTTACTCAGTAGCAGCGACCACCTACCGTGCTGGGCTGGCTGGGGATCCATCCCGCAGGCCTCCCCTTTCTGTCACTTGGGCTCTGGTGTGTGAATTGTTCCTTGGGTCCTCTCCTCCTGGGTTCTCAGCAGCCTCACATCCAAGCCCTGCTTCTGCTTTCTCCTCCCTGGACCCAAATCCTTCTGGTCACTTGGGGCCAAGGCAGGGAAGGGCTGTGGCCAACCAGGTCCAGTGCTTGCTGTCCTGAGCAGTGGACCTGGAGGGGGGTGACTGCTTTGCATCGCTTTGACCAGTGTCCCCTCTACCTGTGGTTCTGCCCCCGCCCTAGGATGTTTGGGGTGGCGACATGCCAAACTGGATAAGGACAGTAGACACCTGAATGGAACCCAGCTACAGGTGGGGACGGCCAGGACTCCAAAGCACCCAAGTCTGGGTTGGCACTGAGAAAGCTGGGAATTGTGGACTTGGGCAAACCTGGACTTGTAGAAAAGACAGATTTGTTTGGGCCTCCAAGTGCACCCTGGACCCCAAAGCAGGACCCCAATCATTCTGAGTTTATCATTCAAGGTCACATGAAACACCACTAGCAAGTGCTTCCAACAAGCCCTTGGGGCCATACATCTGACCAAACTTCCTGGCTTAGGTCTTGGGCATAGAGTTATTTAGACTGGACAAAAGATAGGTCACAACTCCTCAGGGGACTCTGCAGAGGGGCAGCAGGCATGCTGTGAGCCGGTTGGCCACTAAGGTTCTGGACATGCGTGAGTGTGGGCGCAACCTCTGGACCTAGTGAGGAGGGATGAGGACTAGATACCCCCCTCCCGCCACCAATACTCACCTGGTTGCACTATATAGGAGGAAGCGTCCAGAAGTGACCAACTTGGTGGCTTCTCAGAACAGAATAGCTGAGGGATCATACTGGTCCTTGCAGGCTGTGTGACCTTGGGCCAGTCACCTAGCCCCCCTGAATTTGCCCTCTCTCAGGCTAGCTAGGTGGGGGTGACATCACCTATTGTGAACCTATACAGTTGGCACCCTCGTTCTCCCATTTTACTAATGAAGAATTTCATCACCCGTAGGCCTCAGATCTACCTTGGCGAGAGGAACATGACTCACTGCACTGACTTTAAATCAGGGCCCTTTCTCTTGGGGTACTTTGGTTCCAGACTCTTCGAAGAACAGGGAGTGGCAACTGCTCCTGAGGGCCCTCTGTCCACTGTGGGGAGATCTGCCTGTCTCTGGCCATTTTCCTGGGCTTGCTAGGTAGCCTCCTCTGAATAGTGACAGGGCGTTGCAAGGTGCCTATGAGCCACCGATCACTATCTTTGGGAAGGAGAGGTCACAGACACGCCCAATGTGGAGTAGACCTTAAGGAAATGTGTATATATGGTGCCGGACGGACCAGTCATGACCCTTCGTGGCCTCTGCCAGCTGCAGACATCTAAAGGAGGACAGAGGGAGAAAGCCAAGGCTGGCTTGTGTCTGAGTGGCACCTCCCTGCTGAGTGGCCCCCTCCTCCTGGTGGAAGAGCCCCCGCTGCTCTCT